ATCTGCGGTCTTTCCTTACACTTAGGTAGCACGGAAAGCCGTAAAACTCTTGAACAAAAGCTCATCTTTCAAACCGGCAGTCTAAATCCCACAGGGATCAACGAACGCTTTTCATTCCACTAATTTATTCGTGTTTTTCTCGTTGCCATGTTCCCACCAATAACGTAGCTCCATTTTCTGCCTTTAAAAGCACACACAACCCACAATTCCTCTATTCGCTCCGACGAAGGGCTAACGCTCGAAACGTCAGCTTTTGTAATCGTTACGGTGGCCAATTTACCATTTCAACTTTGTTGATATATCCAAATTATTTCGTTACTCCCACCGACGCAGCCCCAAACAGTTTCTTTCGAAACTATCAGCCTTTATTCTTTTATTTACGTCATTAGTGGAATTTTTCGAAAGTGCATCATCTTAAAACTGAATAAAGGAGTTATTATTTTATCAATTTTGACTTTATTCTCGAGTTCACGCTGTGTATGTGTCTTTTTAGTCAATAATAGGGTCGGAAAGTAATGTTTAACTTGCCAAGTTAATTATTAACAGTCATTTAACTGACAACGGACAAATGGCCTAAAATCTAACTGAGAACTGATGAATGACCGAAACTTTAACTAACAACTGACATTTGTACCCCACCCCCCATCCATCCAGACCCTCTAAAAATATCAAAGTCAAACTTTATTCGTAATTGAAAATCATTGATTTATCCAATATGTACTAAGTTTTCGAAGTGGCAGATCAACTGGGGCTCAGGTAATACGGTCTAGAATCTGGCGGAATATCTGTAAACAGGTCTTCTCTGAATCCTGGCATTCCCAGAGCATAAATTAAGCCTAATCTCATGTAAGTTTTTATATGACCTTTCACACTCAGAGATACATTTCTCCCAAGTTTCATATTAATATCGTCTATTCTTAAAGCGTGTTTTGAATCAGTGTACGTTTTAATTAAACGTGAAGTATGACGAATTTATTCAACGAGGGCGTAGCGCAGTCTCCTTGTATCCTTTCTTTGCGCCTGGTAGATGGCACATATAAAAATTCAGGTATTCGAAGGTCTTGGTCTCTTTGTAATGGGTTTGGACTTCAAGAGTCGATTCCAAGTTAAACCTCTCATCATTAGCTGGGCTAATTCACTGTTTTCCGTGAAAGGCATCGCTTGGTGGCCGAGATGAGGGAATCATCTGACTTCTCACTAGAATATGCCTTCTCCAGCAGGCCAGGGGTAGCCGAAACCAGGCTAAAATGTTTCAAAATAACAGCTATTGGTAGAAGAAACTGTGAAAAAAATATCCGTTGGATTGAGTAAGTTTCTGAATAGAATGGCCCAGGATAAGAATCATATATACCCACAACTTTGGAAAGGTGGTGTCACTTTGATTGTTTGAGACGATAGAATGGTTTAGAACAACTGCCATTGATAGCAATAACTTTGAAAAAGAAGATTCGATTCTTTTTCTTAGAATAGGTTTTTGTTATTCATCGCGGTAAATAACACTTTAAAAGAGAAATGTAATCCTTTGTCTCACGGTGTGGTCACTAGGGATGTGGATCGTGACGTTTTGGCTGCTGAGTTGGAAATGTACGGGGCAGTAGATGACAACGACAGTCACAATTCCGACTTGGAAATTGCAGGCGTAAAAAAAGTTACGTCAACTGGGTCACCAGCTACCCGCTACCTGTCACCCGCTACCCGCCACCCGTCACCCGTCACCCGCCACCCGTTACCCGTTACCCGCCGCCCGCTATCCTTTACCCGTCATCCGTGGAAAAGACCTGCCGTAGGTAGAACATATTCCCGCACTAGACGCATGTACGCTTTGTGAATCTACAGTTGGACCCCGATAATTCGACGTCGCAAGATTTCATATCGGTTGAATATTTCTTTTAAATGTAAAGTGAAGCAACTTTTACTTCTCCGAAAATCGCCTTCGTTGTCTTAGTTTCTATCTCCTGCATTCACACTGGCTGTTCAACACATCAAATACAAGCTCTTAGGTAAACTTCTCACATAAGTAGAAAAAAATCCACGCGCCGCAATCTTTGTTTTAAATTTTCGTCTTTTAATCTCGCGCTTCTTTCGCACGTTTCTCTCGCGCAAGACGCAAGAGTTATCTGTTCCCCGCGCGAGGAAACTAGTACGAACCAACTTAAAATAGGAATTCGCTTTGGAAAGGAGAGAGGAGGATGCGTTGGAAATGTACGGGGCAGTAGATGACAACGACAGTCACAATTCCGACTTGGAAATTGCAGGCGTAAAAAAAGTTACGTCAACTGGGTCACCAGCTACCCGCTACCTGTCACCCGCTACCCGCCACCCGTCACCCGTCACCCGCCACCCGTTACCCGTTACCCGCCGCCCGCTATCCTTTACCCGTCATCCGTGGAAAAGACCTGCCGTAGGTAGAACATATTCCCGCACTAGACGCATGTACGCTTTGTGAATCTACAGTTGGACCCCGATAATTCGAAGTCTCAAGGGAAAAGCAAAATAGTTCGAATTATTGAAGGTTCGAATTATAGGAGGTCAAAAATAAATACGCATTTTTTTACCCCTGCATAACTTTATTTACCCTATTTTCGCGATATTAGTGAACAGCCGAAACTGAGTTCGATTTTCTAGAGCCGTTTGATCATCGCACAAGCTCCAGCACAGAAATACATGCCAATCAGCACTTCGGTAAAAAGCCTAAATTGAATAACGATACCGACAAAGTGATCCACTCCGCTAAAAGTGTTATTTAGCTTGTATTGTTTACTCATATCGCGTCCTTGTCATTAGACGCATGCACTCAACTGCTAGATACGGGCTTTGAATTTACTAAATCAAGCTTTGCTTAAATAATGGTTGCCCATGCATGTTGTTTCGCTTCAGATTAACTCCTACATAACATCACGACTACCAGGAAATCTGGAAACCAACAGTGAATGAAAAACTTTCAACCAGAAGAGAGCCCGATAACCCAGTGGACAAATATGCCGTATGTGTGATGCAAGATCAAGAAACCATTGTTGGACATCTGAAGAAGGGAAAGAGTGGACGATTCGCTAAGACAATCTTTTATTTTCTGAGAGTGGATAATAGAAATTCATGCACTGTTATTGTGACAGGCATGCCTGTTAATCTTGGCGACGGTGAAGGGATGCAAGTGCCATGCAAACTTTTGTTTGAAGGAGAGAAAAAATATGTCAGTATTCTTGAAAGAGAGTTCACAGAGCTGAAAGACTAAAATTGGATTTTTCGTCAACTCTTTAGGCACAACTCTTTAGGCATAACGTCAGTTACTCGACACTTTTTCGCGTCTATAATAAATACCTTGAATATATACCTTTGAATATAAGCCTTGCTTAGAAGAATCCATCAGTACAAGATATATATTTAAAGGTATATATTTAAGGTATTTATAATAGACGCGAAAAGGTGTCAAGTAACTGACGATCTCTCAATTTTAACTGTAGACGACTGGTCTTATTGGTAGCTGCTTTGATAGCTCCCAATGTGCGGTTAATAATTAATAATAGTTAATAATAGTTCGGAGATTTTTAAACTAATTGGAAATATTGCATTTGTTTAATCTTCTGCAATGGTTCCGGCTGGAAAAGCGTGCAGGCCTAATGGTCATGGCGCCCTGGCTAGACATATAGGTGTGTAAATGGGTGGAGGCGAATTTAAAACGGGGAGTAACCATGTGATGGACTAGCATCCCATCCAGGGGTGAGGGAAAGTAGAAATATTTCGTCGCTTAGGTTGTATGGGCTACTGGCCTGACGCAGACTTTTTTAATTCTCATACGTGCATCTCCATGAACAGTGCCGGTAAGCGTTTTTTTTTTCGAGACCCTCAGCGAAAATTTTCGTATTAAATTATTTAATTAAGTTCTGAATTTACCATTAATTTTTAATCATCCATGTTCTTATTTATTCATTTATTTACTTTTATTATTTTTTTTAATTTGTTATTTTTCGGCTCATTCCGGGAATTCCGAGTATTCCGGTTCCGGTTCCGGTTCCGAATTCCGGTTCCGAATTCCAGCATTCCATATTTGGTGTACACGACTACTTTCTTTTGCCTGTTGTCTTAACCGGCTTTCAACCAAGAGCTGTTTGTTGGTGGTAGGATGGCACCGAGAAAGGGCTTCTCGCCCTTTACTCGTGTTATCCGCCGACGATGAGCTGAACTCTCTTGAGAGATATTGTATCTGCTAAGTTCCAGTCTTGGTGTTATTAGCCTGTGCCAATATTTTCGCGTGCGCTTAAAATCTATACTTGTACGTGTTATACATTTCATGTTAGTCATCGCGGCACATGTCCTATTCGTTTGCGCAATCCCTCATCAGTAGTATAATAATGTACATCCTGCGCCGATTACGTAAGTGTATGGAAGTCATTACAAAGTTTGACAAGCGATGACGTGTCATTGATGCGTAACATTCCTTCATCGGAAAATTGAGATATGCATAGGTCTGTTGGTGTTGTGGTTTAATTTTAGTTAAACGACATTTCTGTCACAAAGCGACGAGATTATGACGCCTTGCGGAAAGCATAATGAAGCAACCTGGAGCGCTACCAGATACTCCTGAAAAAAATCACATACAAAGCCTTTGAAAAGTTTTCTGAGGCTTTGTATGGGACAACGGGAGGTACTTCTAGTGCAAGCGTTTTCCGTCCTGTCGTGGACCACCATTAACCTGTTAACTTTGTCGCTTGCATGGGACCACGAAACAAAAGTTCAGCAGTGCTTACGAGTGTGGGTGTTGACTTGTAAAACCTGAATTCATGAAGAAAATTTCACATGATTTTGCGAAAATAATCACCTTAGAGAAATTTTCAAAGCCCCAGGGTGCCTAAACATGCATAGACATGTAGATGAGAAAAAGGATTGGAACAAACTGAACCCGCAAGGTCAAACTTGGTTCCGTGACATAAGTATGATACATTGTTTATTTTGTGAAGCGCTTATTGTTTTGTTTGGAAATTTTTTCGTCCTTATCGCAAGCATATGTCAGACTGTTTTATTTTAAGAAACAGTAGGACAGTAAAACATATTACAGGCAGTCAACAGAGTCAAAGGTCAGTTAACAGAAAGTGAACATTCAAAGAGGCTATTTCAAATTGATGAAGAATCCCGCATAGGTTTTTGTCTTGTTTTCGCATTCGCTTTTACTTTCTCGTTTATACCTGTCGATAAATCTAGGCTTTATTACAATACGAAATGATGCCGCTAATTCGATAACTACATGTTGGCAAGGGAAGAAGGTCAAGAAGGGGAAATTTTCTTCAAGCAAAGGATTACATTCTTAGGCACAACCCCTAAGAATATAAAGAGCCTTAAAACAAATGTTCAATTTTCTTAAAACATCTTTCAAACATGAGAGTGATAGTCTCTGTGTTCTTGATACTTTGTAAAGTTGAAATGTTTCTATGGTGCACATGAACAGGCTGTATTTAACGCCACTCCTTCTACTTTGATCATATGAGATGGTACACATTTCCTCTGATTGTTGTTGTTTGCCATCGAACTAATACATGCGGTTGTGGAAGACGTAATCTTCATACAAATAGGAACAGTAACTTCTTTGTTGCTCGGCAAACGGATTGACACAAATCTGCCAGTGTAACAACTGGGTTCGTCACCAGGGGACCTCTTTTGTCTCCATGCGGCAGCACCCTTCGTGGACGGGAGTCCGCCATCTTGAATTCTACCCACGACATTGTTAAACCCAGTTTCCCGGCCATTTTCACAGTAAAAAAAAATTACGAGGATAAGGACGACAACCTAGAATGTAGCATTCATTTAAACTTCTTATTAACGATATATAATTAACGGTATTCGTTGAAAATTGCATCGGAATGAAAATCTTGAAAAGGATTAAAAACTGATACGTAACAAAGTAGTTAACTGGTAAATGTCAGAAAATTTGCTTTGTTTTTACGCAAAATAGTTTGAAAAATATTTGATTGAAAAGAAGTAACATTAAAGGAATCCTTACAGGCATGTTTTGCAAAAACCTTGAGCATTGCTTTTTACCTTATAAACTTCCATGACTCAATATCTTATGATTTCTTGTCGCTTCGGTATGGAGTCTGAACCACTTGTTACTTTGTTTCTCTTCTTTCTTTTTGAAGATAATTCGATGCCGGGAAAATTTGCTCTCCCTCTTTAACTGATAATTTAGTGATTTTAGTGGGTCCTGAAGTAAATATGTAAAGTTGGGAGCTACACATTCAACTCTTTGAAATTACTCAGACAAATGTAGTTTCTATGAAAGAAACACACGGGCGCTTCCCAATTCCTTTGTCTGGGCCTTAAAGGGGTTCCGCTGGACAGTATTTATTTTAATGCCTTTGAAAGGTATAGCGTTTCACTATTTTTTTAAGCGTCTCAGCCTTTTAAAGTGTATGTGATGTTTCAATAAGCTGACAGTGGTATACCTTGTATACCTGGCAAGATTTGATGGACAGACTAAGACCTCCCTCACCTTCCGACTCCCCATTAACGCCGCCTTCCCCTACTAATGGGTTACTTTGTCTATTAAGGGACAGCTAGGAATTTTTTGTCTTCATTGACAAGACAAATTAGACTGTTTTATTTTAAGAAGCAGCATGACAGTATAACATATCACAGGAAGATAACAAAGTCAAAGGTCACATGCAGTTGAGCGCAAGGAGTCTACAGTAAATTGATGAGGAATCCTGCAATTTTCTCTGTCATTTCGCTTTCCCTTTTAACTTTCACGTTTAAACCTGTGGTTCAAACAGTTTTTGGCGCATGGTGTATAAATATAAAGCTTCATTAAAATACGCAACGATGCCGATAAATTGATAAAGGCCAACATTATGACATAAGCATAATGTGATTTTATCTCGAGGCTCGTCAAGTATTTAGGTATGCCTTTGCACGGGGCAAGGAGCGTTGTCAATCACAGATCTTGAGCCAATAAAATGAGGTCAGATCAAATAGCACCAAAGTTATGGGCAAGATCAGTTTCTCTCCTGGTCCTTCTCGCCTTCATTCCCATCGTGTTAAGAGCCGAACACAGATTTTCGGTACTGTAGAAGAATTTTCCCGCCCCCTCCCCATGCTCCGGCCTTCTCTTCAGGCTTTCGTTGCCTTTTTATACGTATTTGGCTCTTTTCCGATATTTAACCCCATCTTTGCTTGAGAGATTGCGTGATGTTCAATGTTCTTGATGTCGGGTGAAATAAAAGCGTCACCACTGTGGCCAATTTATCCCACATTAGCAGTTATCATTTTTATCTCCCGTCAATCTCGTCAGCAAACTAGCGCGACGTCACGCAGAGCTTCGGTCCCGTTTTAGTAGATACGCGGGTTTCGTGATAAAAGACAAGTTTGCTTGCTCCCAACGAAACTATTCCGTTCAGCTTTCCATCCTCTTTCGTGTTGTTTTAGTACTGTTTCGATAATAACAACATTTCTTTGATCGATCGAATAACCTAGTTTTCAAATGTCTGTTTAGAAAAAGGAATCAGCAAATTAAACTGTTATATTTGAAGACACACGAGAGTGTAAACAGGCACATCTTACCCAATAATAATTTAGGCTGCAGTTTTATTGTTAAAAACCTGTTTAGTGTCTAAATATTCTTTGTGATTTCTTCAGCCTCTTGAACAGTTTCAGCGCAGAAAGATTTCTTAATCACATGATACGAGGAATAATAATCCATGTTTTAGATGCAGTTTATTCTATTTGTTCATTGATTTTAACAGTGCGTAAAAATCTGCTACTCTGGACTGAAATATTGAAAAATCCGCACTCTAAACATTTTAATGTAGGTGTTTGTTTGCCATCATCAAGAGGAAACAGTTGTCTTCATGTTAGTGTCAGATCGGAGGGTGTAATTTGCAGGTTGCAGGTTGCAGGTTGCAGGTTGCAGGTTGCAGGTTGAAGGTTGCAGGTTGCAGGTTGCAGGTCGCAGGTTAAAGTATGTGAAACAGTCCGTGTTTTTGCGTATTAGGTACGGAGAGCGAGACTGATTTTCAGAAAATCACCGACTGTTTTGCAGTCTAGTGCGCGGTTAACCCTAAAGTGGTTTATACTGTCTTTCCAAAGACTGTTAAGCTTATTCAAAAGCTATCATAAAAGGTAGGGACTACGCGCTCCAGTCAAGTCACACTATCTTTAGAAAAAAAACTAAGCTGGAGTTTACTAAGTCACAGAGCAATTCTCCATAGTTGATGTAGCTTCCGTTTAAGCTGCACTTCAATCTTATAATATTGGATCTGTAAATCATGCTGAAATCATGCACAAAACGTGATAATTTAACATTCTGCAAAGAAAACTAACAAGCTGGGCCCAGCGTTAGAACTCTACATTCACGGACTAAAGAAGATCGCCTGGTCCTTAACATCTAGAATACAATTTGGAGAAAAGCTCAACCCTTATTCAGCCGTAATAAAAAGCCTTACGCTTCAAAGGAGGTCTAAGAAAACCATATTGCATCAGAGAGGAAATCAACTAAAACCACAGTAAATCGATCTGTGTCCAATTACCTCACAATGTGACAGAAGCGGCTAAAACTGATTACATTAGCTCAGTAAAAATGCTACCTTTCCGAGCATAATCTACCCAGCAGAGGTAATCAGAATACTTTATAAAAGGAGCAGCATTTTGCAGTTTGGTAAAAGTCGTTAAGGCCCACCCCCACCACCACCAAATTTTGATCTATAGGGCTTCGGATACAAATTACAAAAAAAAAGACAATTTCCTGGGACTAAAGATATTTCCGGTTTGCGTAAACAGTGAATCACTAGCCGCGTACTTTAACCTGCAACCTGCAACCTGCAAATTACATCATCCGGTGTCAGATGATGACAAGTGCAGATGTAACGCTTGGACAAAATTGCTGGCAATGATGCCTTTAAATCTTACTGGGAAATAGTAACAGCAGTACGAAAATGGACACATGTAACGTGAATCCTTGCCGATTAAGATTCGTTCGGTGTTGTTGAAATTTAGAATAGAATATACAATTGTAGTGCTTTTATCATTTATAGCAAAACACTCTCTGATTGATAAAAGGCCAACTGGTAGGAAATCGTGAGCTGAATTCTAGAAAAATTGATGCAAGGTTGAAGCCGGTATTAAAACAAGTTGATGTCCGGTTTCTCAGTTTTATTAACGTCATTAGTGGAATTTTTCGAAAGTGCATTATCTTAAAACTGAGTGCATCGATATCTTTGGCAAAGACCGAACTTCCCAAAAGTGTTGAATGTCAAACAGGATGAAATGTTGACGATCATGAATGAAGTCTAAAAATGAAGTCTAAAATAACCCAACATCAACTTCTTGAAAATTAGGGTTTAGCTCTCCGTCAAAACGATTTATTTTCCTTTTTTTTTTTTTGTATTCAGCTCAAGATATCCCATAAAATGGTATTTCATCTATGTGCCAATGTTTTAGACTGTTCTACAGTAAATCAGTTAAGGAAGTACTGTTTTGGTAAATGTTTCTTCATTTACTTGACTGAACGAATCTTAATCAAGGATTCATGTTACTTATGTACGTTTCGTCCAAGTGTTACTCCATGCACTTGTGATGTGTGGGATGATGTAATGGTGCACATTCTCGCTGTCTCTTGTCAGCATCAGACAACATTTTTCCCTTGAAAGTAGCTAATAAAATGTGTTTTTAAGACATCTTTTTTAAATATCTCAGTCAAAAGGTACCTGGTTTTATATAACTTTTGAAATTAAAGAGTAAAAAGAATGATTTATTCACGTGCTCATCGATTCTATAGACGAAATAGGTTTCTGGCTGATAGTAAAATGTTACACTGTAAATTCTCCCTATCCATAAAAATAGATCAGTTTTATTTGCAAGTAGTAACAAATCAGTTTTCAAACGGAGTGTTATGAATTTCTTAACCATGAAAGACGATTCGTTAAAAGCCCGTTATTAGATCATTGAAAGAAATTCTAATTCATCATCGAAACTATCATCTAACACAAAATGAAACTCAGGAAGGAAAGTGTTCGTTACCCAATTATGGATATCTACTTCAGCGCCAAATTAGGAACACTCATTGGTATAAATGGAGAGAGAAACTTTTCTCGGCATCAAAGTCAACTTCAAAGAAGAAAAAGAAACAAAGAATAAAGTTGTGAAGAATCTTTACCATATCCAGGAAGAAACACAAAGGAATCGAGTTATGGATGTTTACAAGGTAAATCAATGTACATTAGTGCTTGTTTAACATGTATATGAGAATTCTCTTCATTCCTTAATTTAATTCCCCAATTAGATATTTACCTGGGAACAAGACACACCTTCTGACCTTGTTCCAGTTAAATTATTTAGAAATGCTTTTGGAAGATTAAAAAGAAAAGAGTTTTTTTTTTCTAGATCTTCATTCAGCTACAGTTTTACCATCAAAACAGTTTTAGTATACACTGCTGATAATAAGTTAACAATGGATCTATACATTGTAGGTTCTCGTCGTTGTTCTCGCAATATTTAGTAGGTTTCTGAGAGTAAACCTCCGAACATTACAAGAGGTGCCTGCAGGTATAAAAGACTTGACAAACTTCAACTGCACAGAAAATACCGTATAAGTACCACTGAGCACTACACTTCATCAATTCAAAGTCTATTGTATCTGAAGGTTTGATGTTCATTGTAGAAACAAATTTATCGACTGCATGATAATCTCTTCGGCAGCCACATTTTTGCATATTTCAGCTTGATTTGCTTCTTTCAAAATATGTAGGAACTGAGTTTAGACAAAGCACCCTGTAACTTTTCACAAGAGCTCTTCCAATAGGTACTGTGTGGATATACTTACAAAAATACTTCTGCCGTGCGATGAGTATTCTTTTTGATTGCTAGATGCGAAGGTGCGCAAAGTCTGACAACCACTAGGCCAGATAAATGTGCAGGAAAAAGGCATAACAGCTATGGTAGTTCTTTTCACCAAACTTTAACTTGACCTCAATACTTAAACTTATCCAAGCTTCTAACGTTGAAACTCTGAATAGAAAATTTTTTCATAGCTTAGCTGATAAAAGTAATTTAATTAGTTAAAACTGCTGCCTGTTAGCTGGCCACATGGCGAGGAACTTGCAATTAACTCAATCATGCACTTTGAATTGGATCACTTGAGGTTCATTAATAAGCTGAAGATGTCTCTCAAGATCTTTGTACTAATGGCTTGCATTGCGATCTGTCTTACAGCTAAGAGGGAACAGAAAAAAGAAGGTATTTTCAGTAGGATTATATCAAGAGACCATGAACTGTTTTTTTTATGTTATTTGCT